GCTACTCTACAAAGAAAATATCCAATCAGACATGAACACGAATTCTAATGTGCTATTTCGTGTAAAAAGTTTAAAGTCATAAACTTCTGGTAATCTACCTTCAACTAATACTCGTCGCCGATCATAATGAAATTGAAATGTGGGTCTCTATTTAACCCTCTAAAACCCACTTATACTTGTTTAATATAAACTCTACTCTAAAACTAACCTCTAACCATAACCTCTAAAAAATGCGCTTCAAAAATTTTTATTTTTCGGTGGTTTGTCAATTTTTTTATACTATACATATTTCATTTTAATCTGTCACAATACTTATTATAACTCAAACTAACTCTAACTTGAAATCGGCTAAACTTAAATCAATAGAACTATGATAAAATTCAAATACTGAGATAAGTTTATTTTTAAATCTATCAAAAAAAAAGGTTTTTTTTTTTTTTTTTACATTTTTTACTAATGAAGGTACCTTTTTTTTTTTTTTTTGTTAAACACATAACAGGTCGGACAAGAAATTAGAATTTTAACAAATTTATTTTTACATATGTATGTATAATTTTTAACTATCCTCTACGAAACTTAATATTGTGCTCCAACCAAGAGTTAATACACATAAGAGCTTGTACACTCTTCTCAGATAGACGTGTACGTTTAGCCCGAACTGTATCACCAGCTTTGGAGAAAACTTGTTCGGAGGGTACTGAAGTAGACTGGATGGCTAAATAATCTTTAGCTATTTGAGATAGATTAGGAAAACGTGTACGATTAAGTTTCCACCAGTTCAAAGGATCAATGTTCATAGGTAAAACGGCCTCAGATAAGTACTGGCTAAATTCATCCGTCCTATTACCGAGTTCATTTTTTTTTCGTTTTTTCTGAGCAATTTGTTCTGTATATGTTAAATTCAACGTTTCTAAATTAGTAGACGAATTATTTAAAGTAAGTGCAGAATATTGTGTTCTAAAGATATTATTAAAAATAGCAATATTTGCTTCAGTATTCATATCATCGGGCATTAGCTCTAGTTTAATTCGGGGATCGAGGATAGCCGCCATAAAGGCTGTCTTATCATAGATCTCATTTGAATACTTTTGAATTTTATCTGACATTTGGGTTGCAGCTGTTTTTAGAAATTCCGGACTTGTTGAATTCTGAATATGAGATGAAATAGTATCAACAATGCTATCAATTAGTAGAATTGAAATGCCTAGAGTCGTATATGTGCTGCCAGAAAGAACATTAGTAGTCTCGTAAAATGGCTTAAGAAATTGTATTACGGTTTGAAGATCTGATTCTTCTTGTGGTGTAAGTTTATATTTATTTAGATTTTTGTTGCGTCTAATAAGTGCTGCAATTGTTGTAGGCATAGTTACATAGACCGAAAGCATCAAATATGTGCTATTCCACCGTGTTGAAACATCCTGTGGAATTTTACGAGTTGCCTCGCCTTCTCCAACTGATTGCCCAAGCTCTTTTAAGTCCTGAGTCAGCGATGATGAAGAGGAAATAGTCTTGACCAAGTTGCGCACCTTTTCGATTGATGATTTAATAGGTAACAAACCACTCGTAACGATGAGATTTAGTATATGAGCTGAACAGTGACGAGATTGAAAGTGAAAAAGCTGATTGTGTAAAACAAGATTACTTTTTAACAATTGCATTGCCAAGATCATATTAGGACCACCGTCAGTAGTAGCACAAAGAATTTTATCAGTAATCTTAAAAGCTGCAAAAACGGAACGCAAATGTGTATCAATCTCTTCACCAGTATGGGGATGAGGAAGCATGCAGATATCGAGTAAGATTTTTCGGAGGTTCCACTCATTATCTATCCAATATGCTGTTATGCAAAGAAAGGGCACATTAGCACGAGAGGTCCAAATATCTAACGTAACAGAGATTTTACTAGGAGCTTGTTCCAAAAGAGTTTTAACATCCTTTTGCATTACGACGAAGGCACTTTGAATAATAGACTTTATAGTCTCGCGAGAAGGTAAGTCAACATTAGCATTAAGATATTGAAGCATAGTGGCAAATGATCTGCTTGAAATGATAGAAAAAGGTAACGTGTCTGAAACAATCCATTCGGCAATTAACATATGAAGTTTAGTTTTTTGAGCTGGTGTTAAACTTTGGCTTGAAATTGTCATTTCAGGTGTAAAAGTAAGAAGCTGTTGATCTGATGCTGGCTTAGTTGTATTCCAGCCTGGGTGCTGAGAGTCAAGGTGTTTACGTAAGGTACCAGTTGCCGTATTTATACTGAACTTTCTTACAAAAGCTGCAAAGTACTGACATATTGTCAATAGTCCTTTGTGAAAAATATGGTGAAACAGGAGATCTAGATTTGGCTTTTTTTGTAGGAGTAACAGGAGTAAAAGGAGATACAATATTTCTATCACTCGCAGTAGCGGTGCTTGTGGCCATATTGTCATTGTCATCAGAAACTTGCAAAACGTCTTGAGAATCAGAAGCAGAAGTACTACGGACTTCAGCTTCATAAAGATCATCAGTGTCGATATCCATTGCAACAATTGTGAGTATAAAATTTTTATATCAAATATGAAATTGGGCAAGTAAATTTTTTTCAAATATGAAATATGAAATTGGGCAAGTAAATTTTCAAGCTCTTTTATATTTACAAATAGTAAGTCGAACAAAATCTATGCTGAGAAATTTTGGTGCTTAGAATTGGATCTTGAGGCTATGCGTGAGATTTTGTTTTACTTTTTTTTTATTTTTTTTGAAAAAATATCTAATTTTTTTTATTACTTGTTCTCGTGTAAATTGTGTTATTGATATAAAAATGGATCGGCTAACAACTTCTCAAGCCGATCAAAATGGCTTGGCTCCAAAGCCATGGTTAAAGCTTCAAAGCCTTAGTAGAGTTTCAAAACCATGGTTAAACTGGCTTAATTGTCAGCTTATCATTCTATTTTTGAATTCGATACCCAAACTGCTGGTATATTTTAGATAACTTTGTTGATATTGCGCGAATGGTTCAAAAAAAAAAAAAAAAAAAGAAAAGTGCATATCATATTATGTGACAACAGGTTAATAATAGGATGATCATGAATATAAGAGGATGATCGTGAATATGAGATGCCATGTTATGTAAAGTTAAATGCCGATGGATTTTCAGCAAACTAGCTAGATGTATCTGATTTGATGAAATATTTGTTAAGTAGAATTTCCAGTATTTTGTTTTTTTATAATGAAATAAAACTGTAATTCAATATGCAAATGGTTATTATTTATATGTTTTAAAAGTAATTGTGCAAAATAGTAATGGACGATTATTTATCGATAAGATTAATGTAAGATTAATGTTACTTGAGAATAAATAAGAAATATTAAAGTAATCATATTTGTATCAGTGATAAGTAATTTGATTTAAAATAAGTATTTTTAATCAGATGCAATAATTACATATTTAATAACTATAATTTTTATTTAACGAACTTGTTTTGATATAAATTATATTATCGCATATAAATATCGAAAGCTTTAATTCTGTTATCGTTATTATTATTTATTTAAATAGTATTCAATAATATTAAATAATCGTATATAATCACAGCGAGCGTTTACTATTGGATAATAGTCATGTGGTGTGAATCTATCGGCTCACGGCTCCATATTCGGCTTCAAGGTCTAGAGCCGAGCCATTTCTGGAGCCGATGCTTTATTAGTAGACCTAGAGCTGAGCCGTTAATCGGCT